TCTGTTTTGGGCAGTATAATGGCTTAGAAATCATAAAAGACCTTTCTAATGAAAAACAAAAAAAAATTAGATAAAATATATATGTTATAAATGGATTTCTGGGCTTGCCCAAAAGAAAGGAACCCCAAAGCACAAAACAAAGTGAAAGCTTGGGATGCAAGGTAAGCAAGAAAGACAATTTTCATCCTGAGGATTTCTATCAAATCTTGGAGACTGAACTTTCCACCTTCCTGGTTCCAAGTCCCGCTATGGAGAATCTCATAAAAGGCCCCATACCAGAAGTGATGGCCACAAAAACTGACCCTCATTGTAAAGGTGACCTAGAAAGAAACATGCCAAGCAAAATGTCTTGGCAAGGCCACTTGCCTGTCTGAAACTTAACACTGGAAGGAGAGGGGGAAAAAAAATCTCTTGTGAGGCCTAAACTGGCCTTTCCATGAGTTTATGATCTGAATTCATGGTCCCTCTGTGATTCAAAAAATCCTCAAAGAGAAAATTAAATTTAAAGCGTTTCCAGATTGATGGGGCTCCCAGGGGACTGAAAAGTGCTACAGCTGCCCGGCCAGCAGGCTGAAGCCGGTGGAGGAAGGGAACCAAATGAGGATCTCATCAGTCCCTGTTCACACTCTCCTTCCATCCTCTTGACTTCACTCTACCCCTCATCTCCACCTCCTCTGCCTGATGTCCAAACTCCACAACTGCTATGGCTCTATGTCCCCAGAGAATAAGCCTCCAGCCTCTCACAAAAACAGGAAGAGGTAGAAACCTGACTGTGCAAAAGATGAGGAACTGAGCAAGGAGAGTGCTCACTGCTCCTTAATCAGAATCAGACTTTCAAAAGCCCCTGTTTTTTCTTCTACCCCCAACACACACACACACACACACACACACACACACACACACACACACACAATCTTGCATACTTTCCTCTCCAGAATGTGGTGATTTTCTGGAGTCGCCCAGGCCAAATCACTTTGTTTCTCTTCAGCCTCCTCACCTTCACCCCTGCCAAGACTCAGGTATAATTCTGTTCTGCAAAGTAAAGATGGGAGTAGAATGTCTTTGCTCCACTATCTTAAAATTGGAGACCCATCCTACTACTTTAAAACCAAAATTTCCCAGCACTAAACACTAGGAATCCTCTAATGTGGATATCTAGCTCGGGGCAAATTCAAGGAGGTCACTTGCTTAGTCTGAATGACTATCAAGCCTCCAGCTAGAATTCATTTAAATTAAAATCCAAAGTAGAATTCTTCTAAATCAGATAAAATAATTTCTCATTTATGTAATAATTCTACATAATTTAGGAGTAATGTCTCAAAATAGTTTTGTAATAAAAACCAACCAGTATGATAATCCAGTACCACAGAGTGTCAAAGCCCAGGTCACCATATAAAGGTACACACTGCACAAAGGGGCCATTTTTAAAGGACTTCACTCATGTATATATTGCTGATCTAGATATTTTATAACAATTTTCCAGCAGAAAGTAGGCAAAGATCTTGTAGTAACAGGATAATATTATTACAATTTTCTGACATACAGAAGTAAATGTTTTAAGGAGTGGTCCTTTCTAGCAATTGACACAGAGTCACCGTATAGCCTCACAGTAGTCCTGAATCAAAGTACCTTGCCAATCAAATATTCATATGTAAATGTTCTGAAAGGGACATCATTTGCAGAGCGTAACTGTTATGGACTGAACTGTGTCTCCCCAAAATTCATTTGTGGAAGCCCTAACCCCAAGTATAACTGTATTTGGAGATAATAAAGACCACCAGAAGCAGATTGCTTTCAGCTGGCAATGCCAGCAATACCCCTTCACTCTCCTACCTCAGGGGTATATCAACTCTCCAGTCCTATGTTATAGTTTAGTTTGCAGGGATCTTGATCATCTTTCCCTTCAACAAGATATCACATTGGTCCATGATGACATTATGCTGACTGGACCTAGTGAGCAAGAAATAGCAACTACTCTAGACTTATTGGTGAGGGTGGGAAATAATATGAAAAAAATCAGGAGCCTTCTACCTCACTGAAATTTCTAGGGGTCCAGTGGTATGGGGCACATCAAGACATCCCTTCTAAGGTGAAGGATAAGTTGTTTCATCCGGCCCCTCCTACAGCCAAAATATAGGCACAACACCTAGCGTGCCTCCTTGGATTTTGGAGGCAACATATTCCTCATCTGGCTGTGTTACTCCAGTCCATTTACCTAGTGAACTGAAAAGCTGCCAGTTTTGAGTGGGACCCAGGATAAGAAAAGGTTCTGTAATACGTCCAGGCTGCTGTGCACACTGTTCTGCCACTTGGGCTGTCGGATCCAGCAGATCCTGTGGAGCTTCAAGTATCAGTGGCAGATAGGGATGCTGTTTTCAGCTTTTGGCAAAATAGTATAGGTGAAGTGCAGTGCACGTTCTTAGGATTTTGGAGCAAAGCCCTGCCATCTCTGTGGATAATTAGGCTCCTTTTGAGAAACAGTTTTTGTCTGCTACTGGGTCTCAGTAGAGACTGAATGCTTAATCATGGGCCACCAAGTTGCCAAGCAACCTGAGCTGCCCATGATGAGCTGGGTGTTATCTGACTCACCAAGTCATAAAGTAGGGCACGCACAGCAGCACTCCATCATTAAATGGAAGTGGTACATATGTGATTGGGCTCAACCAGGCCCTGAAGGCACAAGTAAATTACATGAAGAAGTGGTCCAAATGCTCATGGTCCCAACTCCTGCTACACTATATTCTTTCTCTCATCCTACACCTATGGATAATTCCCTATCCTCACTGACAGAGGAAGAGATGACTCGGTTCTGGTTTACAGGTGGTTCTGAATGACATGTAGGCACAATCCCAAAATGGGCAGCTGCATCACTACAGAGCCTTTCTGGGACATCCTTAAAAGACAGGGGTAAAGGAAAGTCTTCCCAGTGGATAAAACTTCAAGCAGTGCACCTGGTTGTTGGCTTCTCTTGGAAGGAGAAATGGCCAGATGTGCAATTATATACAGATTCTTGGGCTGTGGCCAATGGTTTTGCTGGATTCTCAGAGACTTGGAAGGAATGTGATTGGAAAATTTGTGACAAGGATGTTTTGGAAAGAAGTACGTGGATAGACTCCTCCAAATGGACAAAAAAAAATGTGAACATATTTGTGTTCCATGTGAATACTCACTAAAGGGTGACCCATAGAGGATGATTTTAATAATCAAGTGGATAGGATGATCTATTTTGTGGATACCAGTCAGCCTCTTTCCCCAGACACCCCTGTCATCACCCAATGGACTTATGAATAAATTAGCCACGGTGGCTGGAATGGGGGTTTATGCGTGGGCCCAGCAACGTGGCCTTCCACTCAATAAGGCTGACCTGGCTATGGCCACCACTAAGTGCTCAATCTTCCAGCAGCAAGAACGAAGACTGAGTCCCCAACACAGCACCATTCCCCAGAGTGATCTGTCAGCTACATGGTGGCAGGTTGATTATATTGGACCATTCCCATCATAGAAGGGACATTGTTTTGTTCTTACTGGAATAGACACTTATTCTGGATATGGACTTGCCTTCCCTGGAGGCAAGGCTTCTGCCAAAACTACCATCCATAAACTTATAGCATGCTTCATCCATAGACACGTTATTCCACATAGCATTGCTTCTGATCAAAGAACTCACTTCACAGCAAATGAAGTGTGACAATGGGCCCCTGCTCATGGAATTCACTGATCTTACAATGTTCCCCACCATCCTGAAGCAGGTAGCTTGATAGAATGGTAGAAAGGTCTTTTGAAGACTCAGTTACTGCACCAGCTGAGTGCCAATAGCTTGCATGGGGGAAAAGTTTCCCAAAAGACTGTATATGCTCTGAGTCAGCATCAAATACATTGTGCTGTTTCTTCCATAGCTAGAATTCATGGATCCAGGAATCAAGGGATGGGAATGGGAGTAGCACAATTCACTATTACCACTAGTGACCCACTAATAAAATCTTTTGCTTCCTGTCACCTGCGATCTTATGCTCTGGTGCCAATAGGTCTTAGTTCCGAAGGGAGGAATGCTTCCACTACGAGAAACAATGTTCATTGAACAGGAAGTTAACACTGCTGCCAGGCCATGCTGCCTCATGCTTTTGAATCAACAGACAAAGAAGGGATTTACTGTGCTGGCTGGGATGATTGATCCTGACTGATACAATAACCTATACAACAAGAAGAGAAACTTAACAGTAAATATGTCTTTTAGAAGAATTATCAAACCACTGCAATGTAGTTGGTCCCATAATGTCTGATTTTGCTACATACGTCCCTTTAGTGACAAAGTGGTCATATTTTAAAAATAAAGCACTTTTTATCAATCCTCATATTACTGGCACTTGGATTATGAATGAAACAGAAAAGTGAGCAGTCTGATGAGTGTTCAGTGCTTTTCAGAGATTTCAATATGCCACACCTTGTAGACACTGGTGATAAAAGGCATTTCTACTTACACCCAAAAGCCTATTCACAACATCTTCCAGAAATTTTAATAATTCTTTTCTATGTATATTATATAAAGAACACACAGCAAGTGTGTATATAACAATTACATTTAAGTAATGATTATTAAAATTAACCAATTAAATTATTGAAATTAGTTATCCTTTTATTCATTCAACTAATATTGAATTAGCACTTAAAATGTGTGATATATACTATTGTCTAATCTTGGCATATCCTTCACTCCCTAGCTAATATCCAATGTACATTTGGAACATCAGCATTGGGGTATGCTGATGACTGAGCATAGATATTTGCTTACATTGCATTAATTCTTAGGTGCACTAGCTGGTTATGGTTGAAAGATGGTAAAATATCAACATTAATGCCAAACAAACTCAACCACTGCTAAATATAAATAATCCAATCCTATAATACCACAACTTATTCAAACATAAAACTAAGCAGCAGTTTATAAGAGAAACATAATTTTAAATCATATTTGACTACAAAAAATTTTAAAGTCCCCTTACCTCTTGTTTGTACCCCTTTTCCACAGGCTTCACTGGTGCCCATTATTCCTTGCCTGACGGACTCTGGCACCAAGAAACAAGGGCTCCATTTCTGCAGCTTCCACCTGTGATTACAAGGAATAGCAGACTAGAAATTTCACCATGACAAACATACAAAAGAAATACTTGAAACAGACAAATTTGAAATCCAGAAGCATAAAGATAGTAATTCAATAAAAATGGATTTGAAACCAATGTCATAAAAGCACCAGGGATGACAATAGTCCACTCTGCCTCAGATTCATAGTTAATGCAGTAATTCCATTTTTTAAATGTGGACATTTTGCACAAAAACCTTAGTTCATATAGTGAAGAGCAATAAAAGCATTAGAAGGACAAATCAAATCTAGAAGGCGTACCTCTTTATGAACTTAAAATTGCTTAAAAAAAACAATAAAAGAGAAAATCTCTATGTTCCATTGGAGTATTAGAGAATCAAGATTCAAAGACCTGAAAGTTTGGGGTGCAAATCTTGACACTTGATCTTTTGCTTCAAGTATTTTATAAGATGTTTCCTAAGACTTTGGAGTAACTCAAACATCTCAGTAGGTTATAAAGTAAAAGGGAGGTGGGGGGCCACAGAGATCTATCTTACATGAAAGTTCATCTCAAGGAAGAGAAATTGATCTGCCTCTGATGAATTACCAATATTTCTATTCCTCAGATAAAGTAATCTCTAAGGAAGCCTTCTGGCTTTCCACTGTTTTCCTTTCTCAGGTCAACAAGACTCTCTTTTTATGATCCACAGGACAGACTGTGACTTCTGTCCTTTAACCTGTCTTTTCAGAATGTTCCACATAACCCATACCCTAATTGTAACCAAGACTCTGTTCATTCACTTAATATATTTTTATTCTTTTTCGTATAAGCCAATACCTCTGATAAGAGACGCTACTTCAAAGAATGGAACAGAAATATGAAGCAAAAACATCACTGACTGGTTTTGCAAGATGAAAAGTTCTAGAGACTTGTTGCAGAACAATGTACATAAAATTAACACTACTATACCGTACACTTAAAAATGGTTAAGATAATAAATTTTGCGTTATGTGTCTTTTACCACAAGAAAAATAAAAGAAGTCTTAGTAACAGAAAAAAAATGTATACCAGAATTCCTTTGATCAGGAGAAGTCACTTTAGGGAACCCTCTTAGTTATGTCAACAGACCTTGATATAGTGGGTGGAGGTCACTTCACATAGCCGGCCATGAATATCAGCACGCACTACCTCCTCACCCCTCTTCTAAACTAAATGAGTCTCAAGTTCTTGGACAATTGGAGGTAAGTGAGGCAGAGGTGGTCTTAACGGAGAGATACAGACCATCTTGCAGAATCAAGTAAAGTATATTACAATGTAAAGTTAAAAAATATGTATATATCATTGACTTCATTCAAGTGGCCTCCATATTGGGAATAACTGAAGAATTGGGGAGAAATCAGGGAATAGTAAAACAGAAAAACACACCATGTTTAAAGAAATCACCTATTAATTTTAAATAGTTGTAACTTTACTTTGTATATGCACAGACTCACTCAGTATAATTCAAAACACAGAAACTGAAATGATAAGGAGTTTTCAATTAGGATTTGTCATTCATTCAGATCCCTTAAGCTTACATAGCCTTTCTAGACCAGAATGAGACCAAGGAATTCAACCTAGTGTAGTGTGCTTCATAGACTGAAATAGGAAGGAATTTTCAGGACTCTCTTGTTAAACTCTCAGTTTTCAGATGATAAACCTGGGCTCAGGAGGTTAAGTGTCATGCCCAAAATTGCCCAAGTCAGGGCAGACCAGCTGTCAATCTCAAATCCCTGGATGTTCAGCCACAGACTCTTGGCTATATCCCATTGCCAATTCTACGCAGGGATATACCGCCCATACAGTCTTCCCTTTTGTTGGGAAATCCTCAAATTCACAGAAAAATTTCTATAGACATTTTGATTCTGTTTTAATTTGGTAAACATGTGAACATGTCACTTTAATGGAGTAAAAAAGAAGAATCGGAAGATAAGATAAAGGTCTATATTAACCTGCCTCCCTAACATACCAACGAGGGAGAAAGCAAAACCTAAATTGGAAGGACATTGCTCAAAATTCAAGGATATTTTACTAAAGCACAGAGAAGCATGCTGATAACTTGGACACATATTAAACCACACATCAGGAGAAATGATACAATGATCCAATCCATATGCAGCGGAACTGATTTCTGGGGAAAATGGAAGGAGGTCAATAATAGAAACTAGTTCAAACATGAGTGGCTAAATTGAAGTCCAGCAAGAAAGTAAAAAGAGTGGACAATAGAGAGGAAGAGGCCACTAGCAGCTTCTAGGATTTTCTCTGATTATAATAGCCTTGGGTTCAGAAAAATGTCTAATAATATTTGATTTGGCTAATTTTTTCAATTGAGTGTTTTCCCTGAGAGCTCTTTTGCTGGACACAGAACTTTCAATATTTATACATGGCACAAAAGGATGAATATTGACAGTGTTTCCACAATGTCCCTGTAGTTAATGAGACAAAATTAGCAGTCTGGGCACGTCCCCAGTGTTTATTTACAGCTTCCCCAAACTGGTCATCAGATAGAAACAATAGGAGTAAAGGGATGATAAAATCAATAGTAATTTAGATTTCTTCGTTGATACCCTAAACTTTAATGTGAGTCATCTTCTAAAAAAAACAAAGGAAAGAAAAGAAAAGGAACTTGTATTTTCCCCAATAAATCAGCCCTTGAATTTCACAGCTTTAAGATATAGTTTCTCAAATAATCAGGAGAGACACAAAGCATTTTTGCTAAAGGCATTTTTAAGTGTGCTGATAACTATTTGATTTTCAAGACCATGGACTTTATTCACAAATCAGTAAAACCCAATAGTGAATTTAATCCAGACGTACTTTAAAGCAATATTTTAATCCAATGTTAAAAGAGTGGAAGTTTATGACCAAACACACAAACCTCAGGTATTGTTTTTGTAAATAATAATCACCAACTTGCCAAGAGGGAACAACTAGGTAACATATAGTTTAGAAGTTACTCGTTTTAGTTTTTTTAAAAAAATATTTTTTTCACAGGTTAAACTTCTTTTTCTAATTAGATGTTTTTTAAAATGTGCATATGATAAAAATTTAGAACCAAAAACATTTTTGAGTTAAAACAAGCAACCATTAAAGAAGTACAAATTTGATTTTTAGTTCTTGGTAAAAAGCTTTAGGATGAAGACAATAGAATTAGATAAGTTATCTGTGTGTATATGCATGAGTGTTTCAGGCAAAGACCTCATCCTGAACCTCTTTGGAGCCTGACCCTGAAAACTGATTGCCTGGATGGCAGAATTCCAGCAGCTCATTTACAATAAAAACATGTGTGTTTCTTTTTTCCTGTTAATTAGACTTTCACATTCTTTCTCAAAATAGATTCCAGATAAGAGGGGAAAGCATTGAGGTACTCGAAGGTAAACAACATTACCTCATCTTATTCCTCACTAAGCAATCATATTTTATATGAAAGAAAATAGGTCAGATTTTATACTAAAGTCTAATGATTAACTCTGAAGGTAATTACCGATATATGGGGCACAATGAGACATCTTCACATTCTCGCTCTTCAAATAAGGTATCTGGGCACTCCTGGCCTCCGTTGGCTGCTTCTTGAATGATAATCCTGTATCGAGACTGTTTTATTGTGGCATTTCCTGAAGAAAAGGAGAAATAAAATTATAGTGCCCTTTTAGGTGGAGAAAAATCCAGGGTTAGGAAGCAATTGAAAAAAAAAAGAGGTGAGGTAAGAGCATGTGAAAGGACTAGCTGGGAAACGAGAATAAGAAGCAGAGACCCAGGTTTTATACTTAACAGTAGACTCAATCTTACTTCTATGAGATAGACATGTAATACTTAATAACCGTGATTTCAAATCTACTTATTCTAACAGGTAAAGATTGTTTCCCATCGTCTTAATGTATTTTAAATGAATCATAATCTATATTACCTGTGGCATAAGAGTTACATTGCATAATCTGAGAGGGCCCAGAAACCCTCTTTGATCTCAAAATAACAGCTCAAGGAGCTAGGGTTTTACTACTGGCAATCCACTCCTTCGGGCAAGGAACTTCCTTCTGTTGGCTACTTTTTACAACGCAAACACTCTTCTTAAAATTGATACATTACTAATGTATTTATTTATGGGTATTGGCTTACTAGATTTCTTATTTCTCATTACCTGAGACAATATGCATGTAATTGAAATTTAGGGAAGAGGCACTAAAATTGTGATGGAACAAAATATTGTCTACTTCATAGTTTTGCTGAGAAGCAGAAGTATTAACAGGCACCTCAATAAAAAGACAGCTGATGTTTGCTTTAATATGTTGGAGCCTTCATTTCATAATCTTTAGATGCCTTCTGAATCAACAACAGCAACAAAAATCAATTATAGTTATAGTGGTTATCAACTACTTCAATTACTATATGCAAGTTATTGAACTAGATAAGAAGATACGAATTCTTGAGCTTACATTTAAACAGAAACAAAAAGGAGCAGATAGATACACAACTAGTTACAAGCCATTGTAGGGAGAGAAGTGACAGACAGGGGTGCAGTGTTAGGAGAATATAGAAGAAAGAGCGATAATTTGTGTCCCTGGAAACCAGACAGATCACGGAGGAAGCAGATTGTATTATGGGACTTGAAGTCTGAACAGGAAAAAGAAAAATAACTGAAGTCATTTCTAGGCAAGAAAAAATTTTTTCTTTTCTTTTCTTTTCTTTTTTTTTTTTTTTGCTGAGGAAGATTAGCCCTGAGTTAACATCTGTGCCAATCTTCCTCCGCTTTATATGTGGATTGCTGCTACAGCATAGCTGATGTGTGGTGTAGATCTGTGCCCGGGATCCAGACCCACAAACCCAGGCCACTGAAGTGGAGCATGTGGAATTTAACCACTATGCCACGGGGCTGGCCCCAAGAAAACTGTTTGAGTAAAGACACTGAAATATAAGGAATGGAATGGAATAAGGCACATGGAATTTATAGAGAAAGACATGCAACTGCATTCAGAAGGAAGATGTGTGTGTATGGCTTGTGTGTGTGCACATATGGAGGGTTATAAAGAATGGAGAGCAGGGGAGTGTAGGAGAAAATGGAGTTAACTGGTAGGTTTGAGACAGATAATGTATCTAACTATGTTAAGAAGAACATTTCTAGAAAGCCAGTAAACTAAGTGGAGTAAAATAAAAGAAAAAAAAAAGGAGGTTTCATTAAAATTATTTATTCACATGGTTTTAAAAAAATCATTAGCACAAAAAGGCTCATAGTGAGAAGCAATTGACCCACAAGCCATTCCCTGCCCTCCTCCTCCCAGAATATTTGGAACCGTTTCTGCATTTAGTTCTTCTGTGGTTATCTCCAAATCTATAAATAATATGCTTATGCCATTACTTCTTGATTTATTAACTTTAGACTTTTTAGAATTATATCACTATTTTTATGCCTCTACTGGTTATTTAAAAGCTTTAAACAAGCCATATTTTTTTCAGTCCCACTCCTTACTCCTGTCCTCCATCAGACCAGCCGCCACAATTCTAAAGTGTCTTCCTGGGTAGATGAGCTTCCCCTTCTATTGCCACCCACATTCCTGCTAAGTTAGGTCATGCTTTCCTGTGCTGTGTCACAGTTTCTCGGCTCTTCAGTCTTTGTCCATTACATCTTTCATAAATGACTTTTGGCGCTCTCATCCATCAATGGTCCTCTCCTTTTGTTTTGGATGAGGAGTTAGGGCTTTTAAAATTCATTTTTATTATTTTAATGAGATTATGAGTAAAAGGGGAGACCAAGACATTTACACATTTCATGATCTTGAATTATAAATTAAGGAGATGTATGGGATATTATCTATATCATATTACATATTATATATATTTTCTACATCTATTCTATTACGGAGATGTATGGGATATTATCTATATCATATTACATATTATATATATTTTCTACATCTATTCTATTACAGATCTCCTTTTTTTTTCTTTTCCATTTTTAATCTGCTCCATATCCAGGGAAGTGATCATATTAGAAGTGTATCAGTGACCCCCTTCTCCATTCGCTTCTGGTTAGGTTTGGCCAGTGGGCAGATGGGGCACACAATGGAAGGAAATAAAGATGGCAAGAGGAGAGAGAGATAGATTGGGGTATTTATTTCACCGGATTTTATCCTCTGGATCATCTCAAGATGGTTTCCTACCCCTACCCAAATCCCCGGTTCCTGTGAAGGGGACACTTCTACAGCTACCTTCTCTGAGTTCTAACTACTCCAACCCCTACCAACTTTCAGGCTCCCAACGTGGGTAGTCCAGGTACTGAACCATCTCCTGTTAATTTAAGTTACCCTGCCCATTCCTTTGTAAATACTCCCTTCGTTAAATTTTACCCAGTTGCCCCATTTGAGTGGGCCACTTGTTTCTTGCCAGGACATGCTAATAAATCAAGGAAGACAATCTACTATTTGAGAGAAAGGAATGCTATAATTGGCCCCTCTCTAAAAGTAGTTAAAGCCCTCTGAGGAGTATGAAACACAAGGTAAAAAAGAAAAAAAAAAACTATAATTAAAACAGTTCTACATAATAATACAAAAGCAATCTCAATTTCAGTGGGGACATCTTTATAAATAATAACTCCTTTAGGAAAAAGTCTCTTCTCCCACTCTCAATTAATTCCAATTACACTCTACTTACTCTGAAAATCATTTTTTACCTTTAGGATATGTATGTGAATGGGTGTGTGTGTGTGTGTGTGCACGTGCACGTGCACATGTGTGTTTTGTCCAAGTGTTATCTTAGGTGACCAGAAATAAAGATTGAACACAATAGGAAAAACGAAAGGGATGACTTTACCTCACACTGAGAGAAAACATGGATCAATGCCTCTCCCTTCACACTGCATGCACCTGCAAACACAAAGCACATGCACCACACAAAGGACACTCGCATGCAGAGGTGCTCTGGTTTCTGGTGTAACTCTAGGGCAAATAATTCAAAGTTTGGGAAAAACAGCTGCATTGATTATCACATTCTAAAGTGGTTCGGGTGGAGGTTGAGAAGGATGGGTTCTACAGGTAAAACAAACTTTTAGAATAGAGGTAAGGTATTTCCGGAAAGAAAATTGACTGTCACTGTACAGAAATGAAGAAGAATTTATAGGTATTTGAAGAGAGAGAGAAAGATAAGGGAGGATCTTAAGATAGGGAAACAACACCAGGATCTGTGAGAGATTTGCTATGAGTTTCTCTTTCTGTGTGAATGTGTGTATTTCTTTCTCCTTGAACTTTGGAATAGTCACATTTAATATTCGGTTTAAAAGGAATTTTCCCCTCGGTATGGTGTAAGTGCCTCAATTTATGACCAAACCTACAGCAGAGTCAGTTACACACAACAGACACGATTTAGCCGGCATCATGGGAAACTCAAGGGCAGGCATCATCTAAACTTGGGACAGAGCAGTCAACAGTCTTCTCACTCCAGCTCTACTTTGAAGCCAGCATGAGGGTAACAGTTTTGTATCAAGGAAGGACAATGATTCCAGAAATCCAAGAGGTAATTAGAAACAGAAGAAGTAGACACCAGCCCCATGGCCGAGTGGTCAAGCTCACATGCTCTGTTTCCCTGGGCCTGGACTTAGCACCACTCATCAAGTCATGCTGTGGTGGCATCCCACATAGAGGAACTAGAATGACCTACAACTAGGATATACAACTATGTACTGGGGATTTGGGGAGAAAAAAAAATGGAAGATTGGCAACAGCTGTTAGCTCAAGGCCAACATTTCTCACCAAAGAAAAAGAAAGAAAAAGAAAAACGAAGAAGTAGATGCCTCTGGCAGCATCCAACATCATGGTTTGAAGTCAGACAAGAGAGAATGAACAAAAGGCTAAGTGAAGCTCTCAGAAAGTGATGTCAAGCAGAGCCTCTCTTTCCACTGAACACACAAGAAGAAAAGGATTGCTGGGAAGTAGATAAAGAAAGAGGAAGATAGTGGCTTTGCAAGTGGCAAACATTTGGATTACATATGTGTGTAAAACGTAGTAGAAGTTTCCAGGAAACATCACCTTAATCTATATTGGATCCACTTCTGAACATTTTGCACATGCTATCTTATTTTATTATTGCAACACTTTACGAGGTTGGTATTACTACTACTATGATTGCTATTATTCCCATTTTACAAATAAGAAAATGGAAGGTGGGAGAGTTACATAATTTGCCCAAAGTCACCTAGCTAGGATTAAAACTGTGGTTAAACAGACATCAAAGCCCATAATCTTTCCATAAGAGACTTAATAGTAAGATGTAGAGAGAGGGGCATTCCAGGGACGAGTTCACGTCACAGCTCCTTAGTCATTCCCAAGAGATCTTTTTCCTTTTCTAATCAGTTCTTCAATAGTACCCTGTTGGCAGAAGTCTTCAAGTGACAATAAAAACACGGTGTGTGAGGGCCTTTGTGAGTGATGCTTCCAACCTCATTAGGGCTATGAAAAACAACAATAAATTAAAGTGCTTGTTTGCAAACATAAACAACTGCTCAAGCATGATTACGGCTAATAAACAACTAGTCTAATTTCAATTTTGATTTATGCATATTTTATTATCACTAAGTCATCAGGCATGATTAAACATAAGTTATTAATTATAGTCAAAAGAAGTAACT